TTTAAATTTGGTGTTTTTCTCTTTATCCGTTTTTGAGTTATCTTCAAAATTCGAAATTTGCATTTTTCCTCAAATATCTCGAATTAGGTCCATTTTAGGGAAATCATGTATAGGGACAAAATAATAGAGAATTACATCATGAGCAACTTTTATCACGATTCCCATACTTTTCTTATGTTCAAAGAAAAGAAGGTAAAAAATGGCCGTGACCGTATTTTCTTAGGCAACCCATTTGCGGTATTTTTAAAAACACATTTTATTTAATAAAAAAAAACTTTTATACATTAAACAGATGGGTGAAGGTAGACCTTACTTACGGATCCATTATTAATTCTTACACTAACAGATAGATGATTTCGAACCCCCTCATTCATTCCTCTCTTTACGTTCATCTTTAGGTGATTATATTTGTAAATTAAAATGAACTAAAACTCAAACGAACTAAAACTCTGATGAAATCCAATTTAAAAGTTCAAAAAACTAGGTATTTGATGAACGAGATGAAAACTCAATTTAGTCAACTGCCAATATGCACTAAATTACACCATGACTCATTCCGTCCTAAACATGATTAATGTAAAATTGTATGATACCAGTAGACTTGTGTCAAATAATATCATTTATTTTATGCACAGTATTTTGAGCTAAATTACTTTTGTTCATAAGTGTAAGTTTCTAATAGTATGAAAATAAGTATTTCAGGCTGCCGTTTTAATTTAGTAATGAAGAATATGCAGACATTATTTTTGTGTTCGGTTTTTGTAACGGAAACGGTAGAGCAGCAGTAAGAGAGTAACGCAAATGCTTTCCTAATCGCCGTTTACCAAGTTCTAAGACATTTTCGCAGGTTTTTCGAATTCAGTAAGCAACATGGAAAGTTTCCAACCACAGTTAAACATGAACATGCTCCGAGAAATAATCTTCGACCAGAAGAGATGATACTACAGATAGCTCGAAATAATCCTTCTATCAGTGTAAGAAGAATTAGTAATGAATTAGCAGTACCGATAACAAGAGTATGGAAAGCTTTAAAAACAAAATTTGCATCCATTTCATGTACAAAAAGTACAGCGACTTGAACACGGAGACCACGTACCCCGGTTATCTTATTGTAGATGGACTTTGGCCCACAAAAGGACAATATCAAGAATTTTATTTATTAATAAATCCCAATTTACACGGGATGGGATCAAATGGTCATATGGGCAACTGAAAATCCTCACACTGCATCACAAAAACATTCCCAATATATGTAGATTTTCTATAAATTTATGGTGTAGTATTTATAAAAATCATTTAATATGTCCTCATATTTTTGAAGGCAAATTACCAGCTAAAGTTTATTTAAATTTCCTTAGAGACATCCTACCAAATTTGTTAAAAGAGATTATGCCAGAGAAATGTGGTTTCAACACGATGGTGCTGGACTTCATTTTCAAATACTGATCAGAGACCATTTAAATCTTCGTTTCCGAAATAGATGGATAGGTCAGGGCGGTTTCGTCAATTGGCCACCAAGATCTCCAGATCTAACACCTCCGGATTATTTTTCATGGGGTTACCATAAATCAAAGGTATACAACGAAGAAATAAATAACCGAGCACAGTTATTGGAAAAAATTAATAATATATGTAACAACATTAGAAATAAACCTGAAATAATTGACAAAACAATCAAAAACCTGTTAAAACTATGGTAGAGGTGTATTGATATTCACGGTATTCATTTTGAAATTCTACTTTAGTTTTAATTAATTATTTGTTTCTGTTAGTTTGTTCTGTTACTTTATCAAATAAAGTGAGCCCGGTCCTGTGAAGATGTTCAATTTCTTATTAGAAAATGCAGTAGTTAAAAATAAATGAAGATGGTACCTAATTTCTGTAGAGTTTTAAAAATACAGAGTAAAATATTTGATTTCAATTTTGTAAATACTGATTTATATTGTAGTCGCCATTATAAAAATTTACTGTAAGAAAATCAAGAACATTTATTAGAATCCGATATACAGGGTGATGTTCTAGTTACTAAATTAAATTTTGGTTTTGATTAACCTATAGTCTATTTTTATGTATGAGAGAGTAATAAAACGGCATTTCTAATGCAAAACTTAGTACGGACATTTTAAATATTTTTACAGAATAATCTAAATATTTCCTAAAATTGTAATAAATGTACCTGAGGTATTATAAGTTTTGGGTCTTTTATTGGTCCTTTATAAACATAAGCTGTACAGAAGAATAGAAAAAGGTTTGGACAGGCCAAAAGCCCTGTGTATTAAAGATTACATAGCCGTATCTTAAGATTATTTTCAATAAGTACCTATTTGCCAATTTTGTTTTATTTTAATTCCAAGGATTTCTTACAGTAATCGAATTATAAGTAGATAAATACCTTTCCAACAAATTTCACCGAAAATGCGATTATAGGTTTTCCATTTAGTAAGGAGGTCCAAGTTGTGTATTCTTGACAGTTTACTAAATGTCGTTTAGTTGCAACTTGCAAGGTGCAGTGTGAATTCTAGTGTGATCATGGAAAATTTGGAAGGGCCGCGTAAACGACAAAAAATCGGTCCTTTAACAGTTAATCTAAAAACAATATTTAATTGTTTTAAATCATTTACAGACAAACATTTATGTAAAAGTGTTGATGACACAGTGGAATTAGTTAGTAGTACGCTAGGTGTTGGGAAATCTACGATTTACAGAGTTGTTAAAGAAGAGAAATGTGGCGAGTTTCAAACAGCACGTAAAGCTCCAGGAAAACCAAAATTTCAATTAGAAAATCTTTTGAAAGAAAGACTTCGAAGGAAAGTGCATGCGTTCTTCTTTAGAAAAGAATTTCCGACAGTAGACAAAGTTCTTGCCACGGTTCGAGATGATAAGGATTACCCTGAAATGAGTCGAAGCACACTATGGAAACTTTTAAAAGAAATAGGTTTTCTATGGAAAAAGCATTCCAGAAAGTCTATTTTAATAGAAAGAAGCAATATTGTAGTATGGAGAAGAAATTACCTAAGGACTATAAAAGAAATGAGAAACCAAAGAAGAAATATATTTTATTTAGATGAAACATGGATCAATGAGGGACATTAACCAAATAAATTTTAGCAAGATGAAACTGTTACAAGTCGAAGACAGGCTTTTTTAAATAATTTATCTACTGGTTTAAATCCACCATCAGGAAAGGGGCGCAGACTAATAATAGTACACATCGGTAGTTCAAACGGTTTTGTTAAAGGTGGTTTATTGACTTTTGAATCTACTCGTACCGGTGACTACCATGAGGACATGAATGCTGATGTCTTTAAAGAGTGGTTCGAACAAACTATAGATCTTCTTTCTCAGAACTGTATAATAGTAATGGATAATGCAAGTTATCACTCGAGACTTATAGAAAAAATGCCCACAACCAAGTGGTTAAAAAAAGTTTAAAGTTGAAGGTGGTAGCCATGTGTGAGTTATAAGTTCAAAAAGGTAAATCAAACGAGGGTGGTCCTTAGGATCTCACAAGAGTATTTTATTACGACCGGTTTCGAGGATCAAATCCTCATCATCAGGTAAGGTCTAAAAATAGAGAGGAAAAACGAATGAGCTCATAACTAATAAGTGGGTTTAAACATTTTAATATGAAAGTTGTCAAATATCAATTACGGGTGAGTTCTTGATATTTGACAACTTTCATATTAAAATGTTTAAACCCACTTATTAGTTATGAGCTCATTCGTTTTTCCTCTCTATTTTTAGACCTTACCTGATGATGAGGATTTGATCCTCGAAACCGGTCGTAATAAAATACTCTTGTGAGATCCTAAGGACCACCCTCGTTTGATTTACCTTTTTGGGTTAAAAAAAGATTTACAGAATTCAAAGAATATTAAGTTCCATCCCGGTTCTATGAGAAAAGAACTGTATCATTTGTGTTCCCTTCATAAAGAGAAATTCAAAAAATATGAAATTGATGAAATTGCAAAAAATCGTGGGATGACGGTGGTTAGATCACCACCATATCATTGCGAAGTAAACCCGATTGAACTGATATGGGCACAGATAAAGGGAGAAGTTTCAAGAAAAAATAATTCTTTTAAAATGAGTGATGTTAATCAGTTGTTTTTGGAGGCTGTAAATAATGTGAAGCCTGAAAACTGGGAAAAGGCAGTAAATCATACGATTAAAGAAGAAGAGAAAATGTGGAAGTTGGACAATATTACTGATGAAATGATCGAGGCACTCATTGTAAATATTGGTTGCGACAGTTCATCTTCTGATTTCGATTCTGATTTAGATTTGTAGGTAAGAAGTAGTTTTTATATTAAAATTATTATTTATGAACGTAACGTTGTTTAAAAGTCAAAGTTTAAACCCTTATACCTACATAACCCGTTTGACACAATGTTCTTAACATACCTTGTGGAAAAATAAAACATTTTAGAAAAAAATTGCACTTTTTTACCTTCAGGTGTTTAGAAGTTATAAGCAGGTTAATTAGGTGAAAATATAAGTGTATACTCGAGGAATAACTTCAAAAAATATTTTAACTGTCTACTAAAAGAAGTGGTACGCCTATGGATTACGAACGCTTTATTATTTTAATACTCTCTCATACATAAAAATAGACTATAAGAGAGTAACTTTTGTATAAAATTTTATCAAAATATCTCTAGCCGTTCAAACAAAATGGCTGATTTAAGTTTTGGCAAAAAATCCTAAAACACCCGAGTAAGATTAAAGGCTAAGTATGGGGGTGTTTTGAACTCAGCTAAGTGTACTCTACCTCCCATTAAGCTGTGTCCGTTTAAATCTAAAACACCCTGTATGTATAAATACAACACTAAAAATAATTACCAAGGTTTGAATCCTACTCATGTGTGTATATTTATTTGGTTACTATATTAGCGTCAGTAGCTTGGCGAAGAAACAGCCCGCGAAGAATCGGCGGCGTAGAAACAGCGGCAAAGAAACGTCCTATACCCTAAATAAGTAACGAACAAAAAAAAACGTACCTTCAACTGGTTTTTCTTCAAAGAGAAATATCGTCGGCAGCGAAAATAGTACGCTTACCAGCCATGCCAAAATTACTAACATTCTTGCTCGTTTCCCTAAAACAGAAAATACAATACAATAAAAACGTTAAGGTCCTAAATAAAAATAATGAACTGTGATAGTAGTGACGTCTCAAAACAAGGTTGATAACAAGTACTTGTTTCAGCACAAAACAAGTTACAATGACAACGGTGTCAGATGTCAATATCAACTGTCATGCTGTTGTAAACAAATACTTTACTAACATTTTCGACTTGGTTTTTAACGTAAACTATTATTAATGAAGAAAAAAGTGTAGAACAATTATAAATTATTTATATAGCCATAGTTTTTCTTCTACAAACATTGATCACTTATTATTTCATATAAAATAATTGAAGTATTAGTAATATAGATAAAGTTATTAGATATAGTAAATTTTATACTTACAGCTACCAGAAAAATTCATGGGATGTGTAATAGCGTCATATCTATCTATAGATAGTGCGACGAGGACGTACGTGGAAGAATAAGTAACCACTGCTTGCAGAAATCTGATCAATTTGCAAAGAACGTTTCCCGCATGCCACGCCACAGTTATCCTCCAAGCTATGTCCGTTGATACGTTTATTAGTCCCACTGATAGATCTGAAACAAATATGAATCTTTATTTCTTTTAATCGTAATTAATACCTAAAAAGAAACAATAATGGGCAATGGTCACATGTGAGATATGCTATTTTATATATTTTATTGTAATAGTCGATATACAAGTTACTCTAAATAATCAGTTTGTTAAAAAAGTCAAAAGTTTAAAATTAAAACCAATTTAAATTTAAAATGTGTACGTCATCGGGAAGAGACCAATCAGCTTGTACAGAACCAAGCCAACGAACAAACCGACACATAGAATGTCGAAGTGAACGCACATCTTAGTGAAATTTAAAATTGACACCACCTAGACCACCTAACCTAACATTCGTTGTTGTTTTGTATAATTTTTTTTCTCATTTCTTGATATATTTCTTTTGTATTTGCTAATTGGCTTAATTTTAGTAATAATATGAGTTTGTCAGCTTGATTTATAGAAGCTGACAAAGGTGTTTACCCATTGTAAACTAATATATGATTACTGTATTTTTTTAATACTCAGTTTATAAGTGTCAAAGTTAGGCATGTTAAGACAGAAAGGTATGTAACACTTTATTTATAATTTGTTTTAATATGAGTTACAGTTTATATGGAGCAATACACCTTATAGTAAAAACATATTTATCTCAGGTCATTAAGGTTATCGAACAGTAACAGTTTTTCAAAAATAAACATTTTACCTTTACCTCATTTATATAAAATAAAATAAAAATATGTTTTTCTTATAATATAAATATAACACTAGACATTGGGACTATATATCTTGAAGCAATAAGGGCCAATCTATAATTTGAGCAAGAGAGTGACGTTTAAAGCTGTGTATAAAAGTATAATTACTGTATTACCTGAGAAATAGCAAATTTATAATTGTATAAAACGAGTTTCAATTTGTCGACCACAAAAAATAAAACAAATAACATCTAAAACTATTTAGAAGGGTAGTGCACATCTATTTACTGTAATACTATTTTTAGTTGATCGAGGATTACCTACTTGCTACATATCATTGTAAATAATAATTGTAATTTAAGTACATTTTTGTGTTTGAATAACTACTTTTTGTAAATATACAAACTCTTTTTGTTACAACTGTTATACACATGTCTAGTATTTACATGAATAAATCTACGATAATATTGCTAAATTAAAATAATAAAAACATATATGTTTATATTTTATGAAATAATTTGGACCATAGAAAAGTAATAAAAATTGAAAAAATAGGAATCCATAAAAATGTACATAAAAGTATATGGAGATAATGTATTTTGCATTGTTTCTCCCACATTTGAAGTAAATAATAAGGTCGATAACAAGTTGAATTTGGTAATGAATCTTTGGAGGAAATTTTAATTTGTGCATCTCCATTATTGTTAGGGCTTGTGTACATATTTTTATTATTTGCAAATAAAGTGTTTTAACTTCGTTCATCTTATTTAGGTACTTTTATTTTTTATTAATAGATTAATAAATAAAATTTTCACAGACTTTTTACATTTTTGTTTATATACATTTATTATAATCTCTGAAATGTGATAAATTAATAAAAAAAAAACAATTAAACAGTTTATTATTAGTTATTAGTTATTTAGTCTTAAAAAATGAGTTCTTTTAAGTTAACAATACCACTTATTCATACAGAAATGTAAAAAAAGGTTTACGTAAGCTACACTTTCCATCTCATAAATACCATTGAGGATTTTAAAAACACTGTTGGGCAGTCCTAAATATACATTTGGTTTATTTTCAATTGATTTGAGAGTTCATTGGTTTTGAAGATCCTGCTTATTATTATTAAGTCCATCTGAATCAGACATTAAAGATGTTTCTTCTGATTCAGATAAAACTTCACTATCTTTAAAACTTTCAGGAGGTTCCGAGGGAGGTTCTTACAGAAGAAGTTTTAAGATATACACCTTCGAACATATTTTATGCATTGCGATACTGGTACTAGATCTCACGATTTGAATAAATTGTCATGTATGTCAACTCTGAAACTAGACATTTTCTTCTATCTCTCATTCCTAAAATTCAAATAATAGTATATTCTTCAACGAGCATAGAATAATAGCCATATTCTATGCGAGTTGAAGACTATTATAGACTGTAATCTCAAAATCAAAACATTTTATATAGTGGAAGCAAGAGTCGGGATTTTGGCAAAGAATAACAAATAAAAGGTCAAGTAACTAAGTAAAGCGTAGCGTTTTAAAGACATTTTTATTGTTAAATAAATTATTTAACTACATTGAAAAAAGAGGACAGCTTATTACTGCGGTAGTATGTGCCAGTGCAAGTGGAGATTTTATTCCACCAGTATTGATATATCCTCGAAAAAGAGAAAAAAAAACTTTTACACGGAGCTTCCGTAGATTCACTTTTAATGGTTCATGATAGTGGATTTATTAATACCGATTTATTTTATAAATGGCTTCAACATTTTAAAAACCATGCAAAACCGTCATTTTAAAATCTGCTTTTATTAATCCTAGGTAAGCATACATCTCACATTAGCTTAACTGCTATAATGTTCTGCAGAGAAAATGAAATACATTTTTTAAGTATTCCACCTCACATCAGTCACAGACTGCAGCCTTTAGATGTTGGTTTCTTTGACGCTCTGAAATAAGCTTATGAATAGGAAGCCGATAAATGTATAGTAGCAAATCCAGGAAAAACCATTATCCAGTATCAGGTTGCTTCCTTATTTGGAAAAGCGTACTCTCATATATCGTGTGTCGAAAAAGCCTCAAAAAAGTTTTCAGCAACAGGCATTTGGCCTTTCGATTCAGATATCTTTAGAGATGTCGATTTTGCCCTTTCTTCTGTCACAGATAAGCCAATGCCACCTGAAAATAATATTAAAATAATAATCGATGATAGTATTCGGGAGCAACTTGTTCCACATGAAGCGGGAATCATAATAGTTGGTTCGGAACCTGTATCTTACTAGATAAAGTAATAATTTAAACCAGTCTATCTGATGATGCTTTGGCAATAGGTATCCATGAGAACATTATAGTTTATAAAGCATTTGTCCGAATTTTCTTATGTTGTAAATAACCTTTTAAAGGAGGTTAATGCATTTCTAGAATTTTTCATGAAAGTTACTTCTCACTTATCACCTCAACCAGGAACAAGCAAAGAGTCCGATTATGTAATATATTCAGATGAAAATAAAGAGAACGATGAGAAATGTTTTATTTTTGATAACAATAATTTAGGTATGATTTTTTAATAAATAATTGTTGTTAGTATTTTTTAATGTTTGTAGAATCTACAAACGTAAAACTAGTAATTGAATAATATGTTTATTACCAAAGGCACACCCTAATACGCAAAAGAAGCAGAGGGCCGGAAATGCTTACAAGTACTCCTTTCAAAGACTCTTTACTTGAAGCTGAAAACAAAAACAAAGATAAAGTAAAAAAGAAGGTTGATAATAACCAGGAGAAGTGCAAAAATGTAACGAAAAAGAAAATAAATAACCAATCAGTTGCAAAAACAGAACAAGCTACTCAGGCTGTCTGCGGTGAAATATATTCGGACCCTCCATAAATTGACTTAATTTAATGCTGAAGTGCAAACACTAGTTTCACGAAATTTGCACATCCTACGAAGCTTCCAATGAGTTTATTTGTGACATATGTTCTTAATAGTACGTCTTGCGTACTCTTAGCTAAAGTGCGTACTCTTATTTGATATTCATGAATACTCTTAAGACCAGTGTTTACTAAGAGTAAGCAGCCTTTATTTTTGGTTTATATATAATCTCAAAAATAATTCCTGTTTAGTTTTAAACAAATAAAAGTCTGTTCTATCAATATTTAATAGTTTTTTCTAAATTAAAACCAAGATTAATTGCTAACCAACATTTAATAGTTAAGTGCGTACTCTTTGGCGACTCTACCCTACATAGTTAAAATATATATTTAAAGAACATTACTGTCAAAAACTCGGCAATATTAGGTGAACTTAATTTAAATTCTGCGATTTTAGACTAAACCGGAATTTGCGAGGAATTGTGAACAATAAAAAGAATAGAGAACGATCGTATAAAGCAAATGAAATTTTCCGTAATGGTACACCAAATCAAATTACAAAGAAAGCCGTTTATAAACTTTCGAGAGCGTGGGACAAGTGGGTGGACGGATACAATTTTAATCTCGATATTTTCTAGTCAATTTAATTTGAGTTGGGTATCTGTTTGATCTGGATGTCTTGTTTCAAAAGGAGGATTATATTCAAAATATCTTTTGAAATGTTTTAAATAATATTTGAAACTTCATAAAGCAGACTCTTGACAACATTTGCAATTAATTTAATTGGAGACAATAACATATCAGTAAGTTATTAAGTCCCCACTCCTAAACTCTGTTCGTAAGCAAATACAAACTGACAAAAACTGAGGGTTAATGGCGTACTCTATTAATTAAATTTTAAAGGGATATGCATATAATTTATAGAAAATACGTATATATTTCTAAAATGTTGTTTATTGATATGCTACTGCACCTTTCTTCTAAGATTACATTTTTGAACTAGTTTTTTATTATTTTGGCCTAGGACTTTTTAAGTAAAAACATCAAATCGATCTAATTTTGATATTCCTACTTTTAATTTTGAAGGAAGTGAAATATTTAAATGACAAAGGATGTACCTGTAGTTCAGAGGTTGTCAAATCTAAAAAGAAAAAATAGGTTTTGACGAAAAACAATGGTGGTAAATGTTTATTCTGGTTTGGCCGAAGTTTAGGACTAACATAGGACCTAGATAGATCTATTGTGGCTCTTGTCTAAATTATAGTTCACTGTACAAGGCACACCTTTTAATGAAGGCCATGGTTGAATTGGATGATACTTGTTTAAAGTCGGTAGACTCTAGTCGGCGAATTCGAAAATTTGAAAACTAATTATTTCCAAGGCAGGGTACAGGCTATGGAGGGTAGAAAAAAGGAGGACAATCTTATATGGATCTTTATATTAAAAAGTGGCCAC